GCACACAGCACTCCTTATTTCACCCACCACATTTTAGGATGCATTTCCTTTCCCTCAAATCACGTAATTACTACATGATCATCCAATACATCCGGTTGTCTTCCTCCTTAGTCACAGCCAACTGCTGAGTTCCCAGCATACAGCAAAAATCCTTCCAGCTCATAATGCTGTGGCTAAAATGCTATTTGGAGACAGCACAACAGAAATGTGATGAAATTTAGCCAATGATATGTGGTCCATAGTGTGTAATTCTGGGTGGGAAATGACTCCAAAGTTCATGACATCACCCAATTTAACCAGCATACATTTGCTTTTTACTGATAACATTGCCATAAATAATAACTAAGACTGGCCTTAAGATAAAATTCATGAAGAATATAATGATTACAACATTCCAGTTTAAAACTTGCATTTTCTCTCCCTTTTAGCCAGTTATTTCCCTAATGAAGTCCAACCCTGAGATCTTGTTACACTTTTTCTACAAAATTCAGCTAGTGAAGAAGGCATAAAGTAACAACCTTTCCTTGCTAAAACCTTCCCTTGTAAAACCTGATTCCATTTACTCCATTTAACATTTACCTCCACATCTAATTATTTCTTCCTCCTAAAATTTCCTCTTACATCTGCCATGTGAATCATATTATCTTCATAATTAAATATGAATAAGAGACTTTGTATTCTGCAATCCTATAGGGCTATTTCTGACTTGTTAAGATTAAAGAAAACACAAAATACGGCAAACGCAACTGGAAATCTACTTTTTTGCAGGGTGTAATAATGGAAGATATACACTTCCCTGACTTGAGCATTTTAATTTTGCTCTGTATCAATTGACATCACCGTCCTCACTGAAAAGTGAGCGGAAGGATTAATTCCTAAGTAGGGACAGAGAAAATATTTGTCCGTGTCTTAGAATTTCTTTCCTTTTCCTTTTTTTAGGTGCAAGAACAAGTTCTGGTATTTTCTTTGCAAGGTCTAATTCAGATTTGTATCTTTTTCTACGCTTGTTGATATGCAAGTCTACAGTTTCCGTATCTACAGTGCACACAAGGTTAAGAGTCAGGTTGCATTCAAGCAGCTTTTAATTGAGCTCTGATGACCAGGGCTCCTCCTAATTAAAAAAAAGTTCAGACCACAAGTCTTGAGACTGACTTTTTTACAAAGAACATGCTGCAAAACCTATCAGTGAGTGTTTTGACAGGGAAACCAGGACCTCACACAACCCCTTCCTGTCCACCCCAGTCTCCTACACACCTAAGTGTGGGGACACAAAACTCAGTTCTATTCAGAGCAGCACAAAATCCAGTTTGACTTATGAAGGTTTAGAAGCACATGAAATGAGTCATGACTTACTTTTTGCACCTCAGTTTATCAGAGACATTTTCCTGCTGGACCACAAAAAATTTGTATCGAAAGGAAACAGGTGGTAGGAGGGAAGAGGAAGGACAAATAAAAACATAAACAAAAAAAAGCACACAGCCCAAAAATTCCAGTGGTACTTAAGGAAACAATGTGAAAGATACTGATCGGCAAATACTGCTTTCCTTGTTCCAGCTGGTCTGTTAAGATTAAATCTCCCCAAACCAAGATCCAGCATCAGCACTGATATGAAACCCTGAACAAATCTACCCTACAGAAGAAGGAAGGGGATCTGGAATAGAAACATCATGCAACTGCTCTCCAGCTGGAAAGAACACATCCCATGGCACTGAAGGCTACTTCTTCCTGCTCTGTGACAAAGGCTGCAATCACAGAAACAAATTAGATAGAAGTACCTCTTAACCTATTAAAGAAAGCCTTTATTCTTTTAAATGTTGTTTGTGGTTAGCACATTAAGTCTTTCTTTAGAAACGCAACTATTGAAGATAGTTGTTTTTTAGTTTAACTAAATGTCATTTCCAAAAGCTTTTGCAAGACTTGGGATGAATTCCTAAGAAAGCTTTGTCCAGATGGAGAACTGTATGTAAGGAGAATCAACTACCGTAAACTGGGTTTGTATTATCATTTTCACAGAAATAATGATCAATATTCAGACAGTTACTGGATAAAACTAAGCCTCAGTAGGGAATCCTTGACCTTGTTTGCAGACTGGGGAGATGGATATGCCTGGAGTGGCTCTTTGATAGAACTGGACTCCACATAGATAAATGTATGTTATCCATCTGGTGCTGTAATTGGCAGACTTTATACATAAGGCACATGTTGCTCAGCCTTGCCTGTTCATATAAAATGTCATAATAACCTTTATATTTTGCATGGGATATAAATTTGTAAAGAAATCTACACACACTCTTTTGTCCTGCTTTTCCTCTTTGAATTTCCAGCTTATTATTAAGGCATCCACAAAGGTCACCTTGGACAGCAATGGAGAGTCAAAGGGAACTCCTCTCCATTAGCTGTGTCCTTTCATGACTTTAGAGAAGAAAGTTCTGGCAAGAGCACGTGCCCCTAGAGCACACAACGCTGCAATGAGCTAAAGTTTACACATGGCCACAGAATTACAACAGAAGGTGCCAGCTCTCAGTACAGCACATAGTTTGGCCATCAGCCACATGCTGAAGCTGGACAGTTCTGGGAGCCTGCTCAGCCAAGGTATATTCTGAAGGTGCCTCAATAAAGCTGAATCTCTCCACTGGAAGTCAAGCACACGGCTCAGTTACTCTTCCTTCTCAGGGTCTTGTGCAGACTGGCTTTCTCTGATTAGGCTGGTAAATAAAGTGTTGTAGCATCTCCTGTATTTGAGACTGAGTATCATGCTTTGACATTTGAACCCTGCAGTTCTCAAACACCTTGTCACCCTGTGTCATATCATCACATACTTGTAAACCCATCTGCTCCACACTATCCACTCACTCTTCTGTAACACTGAGTGCCAAAAATAATCCTGAAAGAGAAACATGAAACAGAAACTACTTCATGTCTTATGCTAATCATAAACTAAAACCTACCTTCTTATCAAGATACAATATTGTACCTTGAAGGAATAAGAGGTTTCTTCCCCCATAAGAAAACCACCATTTCCCCCAGCAGACGACAAAAGGGAAGGGTCAACACTATGCTGAAATGAAGGTGAGGCAGGCAGCCAGAGTTCCCAGGCTGCAGCAATGCCTAATGGCTTAGTTGCCTCACACATAACCTCATTCCTCATCTCATGCTTCAAGTCACTACCAAGGTCTAACAATGTAATTAGAGGTTTCCTGCAATGAGTGGCAAATGCAGGTGATCTACTTTGAATGCAACCACTACAGCAGTGCTAAGTAGCAAGGAAGCAGAACACAGGCTAAAGAACAATTTCAAGGGCAGAGGTTGCTCAGTATTTATCCAGAAATCACATTAGAACTATTCTTTTTTCCCCCACCTGACTTGTTTGAAATGTAATCAATTCTGATAAGAAATATGGCTACAAAACTACACACAGAGTCATTCAACTTTTCTGTGAGGAGCAACAGCTTAACTATTGCCTGGTGTTTCTCTTACTATGCCTTTCAACACAGTAAAACTCTGTGAGGGGAAAGGCAGCATCCTCTGGCACCATTCCCTTTGAGAGCAGCAGACAGTACTGCCCAGGGGATTTCAGAGCAAGGGAAGGATCACTCTCCCAAACTAAGGCTTCTGAGATCAAGTCATGTACGTGCCCAGTGCTGTCAATACACTTGCAATCCTACAACAGCACTGAGTGAAAAGCCAAAACAAAGACACTAAATAACTTATTCACACATCAAACACGGAGACAGCCAAGGATATAAATTTGTACCTTCCCCAAAGAGAATTTCTGATTGTTTATTTTAAACTGAGAAGCAAAAAGCATGTGGCAATTATAAAAAAAATTCATTATGTCCAATAAGGTGGACATAATTGTTCCCCTATTATATAACATATTGACTCCTTTTCTTTTTTTGTTAGGTCTGTGAAACAAAGTCTGAAACAAACTGCAGCTGACTGTATGAAATAAAGTGTTGATCACAACGATTTTTTTTTTCACAAAATGTTTTATGCACATGTGAAACAGGTATGTAAAAGAGAGGGTTAATTTGAAATCTTAATGTTGTTCTTTTGAAAAAAAAAAAAAACACAACAAAACCAAAACACCTTCCCCTTACTCACCCAATTTATCTCAGCAGTGACAATTTTCTAAATTAGTTCAGTGAAGACCTCCCAGTCCTGCAGTAACCTTCACAGACAAATGAGCTAAGAAATACTCATTCTTGTATCTATGTCCCCACTTTCATTAGGAGAAATACTCCTTATAGGGAATAACTGAATATGCAAAACAATGCAAAACATTGTTTCCATACTTGTACTTTCATTTTGGCCAGCTCTGTAAACAACAACATGCAAATGTCAAATTTCTGAGCAGATCTTTGCAAATCATATTTTCACAAATAAGCTCTGTCCCATACATACACACATAAACAATTTTAAGGTTCCAACTCTCATGTCTTTGAAAGCAAATCACCAAGAAACAAATCCAAAAGTTTCTATAGAGGAAGGGGTACAAAATGAAGAGAAAAATTCTTAACTTTTTTTTAATTGAGGAAAATTCTTAACTTTTTTTTTTAATTGAGAAAGACTGGTTGCTTTCATCAGTGTCACAAACTGCTTGACGCCCTCAAATATTTTGTATTAAAATAAATAGTGTAATGGATTATAATGGAACACGTTTTGTGCTGAATTACGTAACAGAAAAGGTATGCAAGTTTAATCAACTATTACTTAGCATATTCCCCACTTGAAGTCAGGCAGTGTTCACACTACAACTCACACATTCCTCAACCCTTTAAACGATCCGAGATTACCAGACACTCCCGGCGTATCCCCACTCCAAATTACACTGCAGTGATGCCTCTGCCCTGTCTCTCCCAGCCTCACAGCACAGGTTGGGCTACGGGAAGCGATCTGCAGCAAAGTGACCATAACGCTGCTGCAGGTACCAAAAAACACACACACAAACCAGCCAAACCTCCCACCCCGACCTAAGCAAACCGAGCGCGGCTACTCACCGTTCATGGCCGTGGGAAACTGAGCCATCATGGTCCCGGATCTGCCTTGCTAGCTCTTAGCCATCTGCAACATAAAAACATCGTGCCATTAATAATGCAACAAGGGCAAAACTGCGCTGCGCTCCCGCTGAGCGGGGGAACGTCCGTCCCTTCAGCTCCCACTTCCGACAGCAAACAATGCCCGGCTTGGGGCTGCTCTTCAACCAGCTGGGGGGGGGGGGGGAATTTTTTTTGTCTTTTTCTCTTTTTTTTATTTTTTTTTTTTTCTATAGGCTATGCGGTGCAGTCCTGGACCTTGTGGCACATTCTTAAAGGAAAACAGTACCAACTGTTTAGCAACTGCTGCAGGATGTACACAAACAGTTGCCAGAACATATGGCTGGGGACAGCCTTCTCCTGGCGGGAGCATAGGCTTGGGGTCCCAGCAGATCTTTGCCAGCTCTCCCTGGTAAATATTTATGTATATCAGAAAAAAACAGTGCAATCCTGAGCTCTGTAACCAAAAGCTCCTACTGAGAAAAGTGGAAGAACAATTATTATTCAAATTCACCCATTCCACTACTCCACACACTATTAACAAAGAAAACACTCTTACATGATGTATTCTGAAAAAAAGACCTGTCCTAATAAAAGTCTGTCACCAGCCAGTTTTCCAGGAGCAACACAATGAAGTTATTCCTTTTCCTGAGCTACTGCATAAAGACTCAAAGCAGCATTTAAAGAGTCTCAACAGAATTTACTTTCATAATAAATACCAGAGTACTAAGACAAATTTTGTTTTTTTTAGTATGTATCTTTTCAAGATAATAATAACAATAATTATCTTGAAATAATAATAATTCTTCTTAATAATAATTCACCGGTAATAATAATTCTTTAGAATCGCAAAATATTCACTAATACTTATCTGAGGTAAAAGCATAAAAAAATTCACTGCTATAAAAACATAGAACTAAGACAATGCAGCGAGCTTGTACTTTCAATGAGACAATTTTAGTTAAATATTGAAATATATTCGTCATTATCCTTGTGCTCTATGTGGAGAAATTATTGTGCATGATGAGGCTACAAAAAGGAAATATTTAATTAAAAAAAAACCAAACAACCCTCTTCAGACACCAAACCTTCTCCCCACACCAAAAAAAACCCAAACCAAACCAAACCAAATATACATACAAACAAACAAAATCCACCCAACTCTTCCCCTCTCAATACAACCACAGATTTTAATATTAAGTACAGAAATATCATATTCCCCATACTCTCTTCCTCTGCATGAAAACTCCTGTGCATCTCCTCACAAAAATCACAGAACTGGAAAGCACTGTGGTTCCACCTTTTTGTACCTATTGCACATTTCTTCACTAAAAATAAGAGTCTAGGATCTGTGGCTACACACACACACACACACACACATACATATTTTAAAAAAGTAAATGGAATAGCTGGTGAGTCCAAATGATCTCTCACAGAGACATTAGGTATCAACTGCACAAAGATGCAAAAAGGAAGCATGGATCTGTTCCAAGACATGAACCTACCAAGCAATCTACCAAGGGACACTTGAAATCTATAAATAGCCTTCCCAAAAAATGCTGCCACGGTTGTCAAGCATTTCTCCAGCACACTTCTCTGCAAAAGCTGTTCTGTCAAGAAGGTCTAAAAGAGAACTTGAAACCATGACACAGAAGCAGAATGCTGGAGAACACCCCCAGAATCAGCAGATTTCCACCTTCATGTGACTTGCTCCAGATTTACAGTCTTACTGAATAAGAGCTACACATCTGATCTTTCCTCCAACTCACTTTATCCTCTTACTTTCAGTCTGCTTTTAGGTTTCTTTGAATGAGTAATCACAACAGAATCACAAAAACATAGAATATCCCAAGCAGGAAGGAACACGGGAAGATCATTGAGCCCAACTTCAGACTCCACACAGGGCACTAAAAATTATCCCATGATGTAACTAATGAGCATTGCCCAAACACTTCATGAACACCAACTGGTTTGGGGCCATGACCCCTTCCCTGGGGAGCTTGTTCTTGTGTATGACCACCCTCTCAGTGGAGAACTTTTTCCTTACATCCAATCTCAAGTTCCCAGACACAGTTTTAAGCCATTCCCTCATGCCCTGTCACCTGGGAGGAGAGAGCAGCACCTCCCTGACTGCTCCCATAAGGAAGCTGCAGGCAGCAAGGAGGTCACCCCTCAGTCTCGTCCCTAAGCTGAACAGACCTAGTGTCCTCAGCTGCTCCTCAAAGTCTTGCTCTCTAGTCCTTTCACCATCTTTGTTTCCCTCTTTTGGATACATTCTGATACTTTTATATCCTTCTTACATTCTGAGGCCCAAAATGCACACAGTACTTGAGGTGAGGCCTCACAATACAAATCTGATAACAATCAGACAATACAGGTCTCGTAATAAACTGATTAACTCTTAAAGCCCAAAAGCGACCCAGGCAACTTCACACACACAAAACGTGAAAACCCCCTCTCCCTCATTTTGATGTCCCTAGAGTCTCAACTGTACCATATTTTAAAATCAATTTCAACTGAAAAATCTTGAGGGCTTTGACCTCACTTTAGCTTGGTGAGGGTCCTTCCTATTTATGAAAGCTCTGTATCTACAGAGCACACGTGTCCCTGGTTCATTTCCACCAGACCGAGTAACTTCTTGGATATAAGAAGAAAAGTCTTCCCTGTGAGGGTGTTGAGGTGCTGGCACAGGTTGTCCAGAGAAGCTGTGGCTGCCCCATCCCTGGAAGTGTTCAAGGCCAGGCTGGATGGGGCTCTCAGCAACCTGGTCTAGTGGAAGGTGTTCCTGCCTACGGCAGGAGGGTTGAAACGAGATGATCTTTAAAGGTCCCTTCCAAGCCAAACAATTCTATGATTCTGTGACAACAGAACTTTCATAGCTCACATCAGGCAGAATTAGAAGTTGTAGTCAGACACTGAATACAACACTCCCAAGTTATGCTCCATACCTTTATCTGTCCTCTCAAAAGAAGCAGCCCAGTATCAGACGTTCTAATGCCACAGTCTTTGACACTCTGTTCCAGTGCAACACTCCCAAAAATAATGAACATTGCACGCCAAATTCTCAACACAGGATTTTTCAGCATAACCTGAAATTTCCCCAAGTTTCCCAAGCTTGGGTTTGACCCAAGCTGGTAAGTCTGCATTGGGCATCGCCATGTAGATGTACCATCCTTAGGTCCAAAAACAAGAGGGAACTGCCCAACAGGTCTTACTGAGAGTACATTACAGCAATGATATGCAATTAAATCATGATTTAGCTCTGTTGTCTCACTATTATGTCTATATGCAGAACTTGTCATATTTTAAATAAATACTAAATCTGAAAGGTACCAAAACTCTCCTACATTAAGCCTCACAAATAGCAAAAACTATGACTTACAGAAGAAACCAAAAATCATAAATGAGTTTTTTACAGGATTTCATATCTCACCAGCACTGAGACCCCATTTTATCCCTTTGCACAGATCCATTTCATTCGAACACCAGGGTTACACCAAGCACACATGCTTCTCTGGTGACAGATTCTGAAGTTATACTGATAAGCAAAAAAAGGAAAAATAGAAGTATTGCTGCAACATAATTTCTCCTCATTATTTTCTTTTTTTTTAGAGAAGGAGGAAACAGCCCAGTAAACTTGAAGTCTACAAAAAATTTTTCAAAAGTCTGTGAAAACAATCCTTCTCAAAGAATGGAGCTCGTCCTCAACAAGTATTCTGTCTTCGTCGTCCCCACAGTATATCACAAAGGCTTGGAGATTACACATATATTAAAGTTAAAAGCTGCTTATTTTTACAAATTCCAAATAAAGTTGCTGCAGTTGCCATCTATAATGATCTAAATGTGTAAAAGCACCTTGCACCTTTGAGACACAGGTGTGAACCACTTATGTAGCATGAAAGTCTCAGCAAAATATTCTTGAAGTCAAATTTATGGTTTTTTAGAATAATTTCAATAACTTCTAAACATTAATGGAGGTGAAAGCTGTTAATTTCCAAAGAACCTTACTACACAATACTACAGAGAAAGCCAATGCCATATAAAAATGTTCACTAAGGGAAAAAAATAAAAATCAAGAAAATACTATAACCAGTATCCCAAACAGATGATATAGATGAAATCATGGCCATCACCACCAGAATAGTTCACAGAAAATTATCTGTTTTTCCAAAATGTTCTAGGAGAGGCGCTTGGTGAAAGCCATCAGTCATAAGAAACTGTGGCAGCAACAGCACAAAATCCATGTTGTAACAACAGGATCAAACATCCCTGTGAACATCATAGACGACATTAAGTCCTGCTGCCATTTAGGGTGAAAACAGGAAAACTTGGATCTTACATTTAAATAGCAGAACAGCAAGTTCTTGTAAACAAACCATCTGACTAGTCCCGATGTTTAAAGCACTAATTGTTTTCACAAACTGACCTGCCAAACTGCAACTGCCGTTCCCTCTCTCCGTGTTCATTATAGTTGATACAAACTGGGAAAACAAATGAGGAGACTGCCAGAAGCAGGGGGGACCTCAGGACTATGCTGAAGGCATTAGAAAACATTAGATAGAGCTGGGCACATGGCAGTAGAAAGGGAAAAGAAAAAGCTTCTTTCCTATCATGGGCGTATTGCCATTATACGAAGAACAGCCTTACCACAATCTTTGTTAATATTTATACTTGCATCAATTTTTTTCAAAATATTTCTCAGAAAAACCACAACCACATAGTTTTAGTAGGAATGAAGGTCTGGTGCAACAAGCTCTGTCTGGAAGAAAGAAAATGCCATGGAAGCAGCATGTGTGGACACACTACTAACTACTCTTTTCCTTTCCCCAAGAGCAGGAAGAAGATATATTGCAGATTTTTGCTGCAAGAACCAATTAGCAAGGACAGAGACTGCAGTACTAGTTGACCAATTTACTCTTTACAACACCTGTAGACCTGGACAATTCAAAGAGGACTCATTAGTATTTGCAGAGCAAACAGTGACAGTGTAATAGCCCATGTAGTTGTTCCCTGGTATTTTTCAATTAC